TATGTCTGTGTGGCTCTTCCTTCCTCGAGAAGAAGGAGGAGGGAGAGGAGGGGGGGGCCATCCCTCCCCCCCTCACCCCTCCACGTCCCACACACGCCCTCCCCCCCATCCGAGAGCCAGCGCGCGGCTTTCTCGGGCGCGCTGCGCGCCGGTGCCCACATGCGAGGCCGGCGCCCCGCCTGCGGCTGGCCACGGCGCTGTGAGGTGGCCTCCCTCCCAGGAGGAGGAGGAGGAGGAGGAGGAGGAGGAGGAGGAGGTGGAAGAGGAGGAGGAGGAGGAGGTGCGAGGAGGAGGTGGAGGAGGAGAGGGTGCAGGAGGAGGAGGAAGGAGGGAGAGGAGGGAGAGGAGGAGGAGGGAGTGTGAGGAGGGAGGAGGGAGGAGGAGGGGAGGAGTGGAGGAGGGGAGGCGGGGAGGAGGGGGGGAGGAGAGGAGGAGGGAGGAGGGAGCAGGGAGGGGGAGGAGAGAGGGCGCGCGACGCAGCAGCCGCTCGGGCCCGCCTGCGCGGGGACTGCCGCGCCACACGCTCGGGGGAGTGACCGTCCCCTGGGCGGCTCCCTTCTTCGCCCCGCTTTCGGCCGCGCCCTCCTCCTCCCTCCTGCCTCCTCCTCCTCACTGCCTCCTCCTCTACCTACTCCTCCTTCATCCTCCTCCTTCATCCTTCCTCCTCCTCCTCATCCTTCCTACCTCTCCTCCTACTCCTCCTCCTCCTCCCTCCTCCTCCTCCTCCTCCTCGGGTGGTGGGTAGGGAGGCAGAGATGGGCGTGGAGCCCCCGGGGCCATCTCTCCACCCCCCTACCCCATCCGAGGAGCCAGGCGCTCGAATTTTCGAGGCTCAGCGAGCGCCAGGGCACATGGTCGGAGAGGCCTGGCCGCCCGTCTGGCGGCTGGCCACGGCGATGTGAGGCGGCCTCCTCCTACCTCCTACCTCCTCCTCTCCTCATCCCTTCTCCTCCTCCTCCTCCTCCTCCTCCTCCTCCTCCTCCTCCTCCTTTTTGTTAGTATTGTTAGTATTATTAGAGTATGGCTCAGTAGTGTCATTATGCTTATTAGTAGTAGTAGTCGTTTTCTTCTTGCTATTGATAGTATTAGTAGTGTTATGGTGTTCCCTGTAGTGCTGATCGTCTTATTAGGTTCATCCTCATCATTAGCATGATGATTAGCATCAGAATTGCTCTTACTACTACTATGTGGATTAGCGATACTGTTCTTAGTATTATTGTTAGTCCTAATGATATACGTAATTAGTAACAACAATAATATTGATACCGAAATAGTTTTAGTATTGTTAAAATATCATCCGTACTAGTCGTATTCGCATTATTAGTATTCGCTATATCATTATTAGTATTATGACTCCTACTGCTATGTTTATGATTTCTCTACTTCCTCCTCCTCCTCCTCCTCCTCCTCCTCCTCCTCCTCCTCATCATCATCATCATCATCATCATCATCATCATCATCATCATCATCATCATCATCATCATCATCATCATCATCATCATCATCATCATCATCATCATCATCATCATCATCATCATCATCATCATCATCATCATCATCATCATCATCATCATCATCATCATCATCATCATCATCATCATCATCCATCGCATCATCATCATCATCATCATCATCATCATCATCATCATCATCATCATCATCATCATCATCATCATCATCATCATCATCATCATCATCATCAGATTCCTCCTCCTCCTCCTCCTCCACCACCTCCTCCTCATCCTCTTCCTGCCCTCCACCAGTACCCTTGCCATGCGCTTCCCTCCACCCTCCTCCCTCGTCCTTCGCCCCAGGCCCTCGACGCGGCGGGGCTCCGCTACGCGCAGGGAGAGAGCTCTCTGCTGAGCGCCCGCCACCCCTCCAGGAAGGCGTCCGTGGTAATGGCGGAGTTTGCGGGCCCCATGTTCCTCAGGCGCGGCGGGGGGGGCCCTTCCATGACGACCCCCACTCCGTGACGGTACCCTCGCGCCCCCCCCGAGGTGGGAGCGGATGGGCGCAGACAGCCGGATAGCGGTCCCCCCGTGACATCCACCGAAACGACTTTACCAGTCTGCGGCCCCAGAGGTCCAAAACACCCGCTTGAAAAAAAACATATCGCCAGAGAGCTGGGTCGGTCTGGCGGTTCGAGCAGGATGGCCCAGTTTGCACCGCGGGGGGGTTGAGGCCGCCCCTGGCGCTCCACTCGAAGTAGGCCTCGGTGGAGCTTGCCCCGTCGCCACCGTAGCCCGCTCCGCGCAGGCTGTTCCAGAGCCGCGACCCTAAGGGGGCCCAAAAAAAGGCACGCCTGCGGCAGGAGCGTGTCGCGACGAACCCGGCGCTGGCTCCCGACGCCGCGTGGATGGCTCAGCCCCGAGCGATGGGCGCTGTCACGCGGTCGCCGGCTCGCTCTGCAGCGGCAGGCTCTGGGGCAACTGGCGGCGCCCACGACCTGGAGCGCCCGCGGGGTCGCCTCTGCGTCGGCACGACGCGATCCTGCACTTCCAGCAGCGAGGAGGGCGGGGAGGGAGGGAGGGGGGACTCCAGGTCTCGGGCGCCGTGGCCTTCCACTCCGGGCGCCGCGCCTGGGGCGCGCCGAGCTGCCCCCCAGGGAGAGGGGAATCGGGGCCCCGGGGGCCTCGGACTGGGAAAAGAGCACCTCGGAGGACAGCAGGGCTCTGGGGCCCGCGGTCGTGTCCAGGGTCCACCAGGAACGGATCCTTGGGGCGCGCCGGGCTGCCCCCATGGGGAGGGGGTCGGGAGCCCCGGGGCCTCGGACTGAAAACGAGAGAGCAGAAAATCCACCCTCACGAGAATCACCCCGACACGCGAGGCCGGTTGGCAAACGCACGAGAAAGAAGGAATCGAGCAGTGCAGGGCTGTTCAATAAACGCCTAGGGCCGCTTACTGAACGCCAACTATCGGGTCTGGGTGGCTGCTTCTCCCTCGACACAAAAAAAGCAGCAGCAGCAGCAGCAGCAGCAGCAGCAGCAGCAGCAACAGCAACAACAACAACAACAACAACAACAACAACAACAACAACAACAACAACAACAACAACAACAACAACAACAACAACAACAACAACAACAACAACAACAACAATCATTTAAGACTGGGGACACTCCGTTCTCACCAGTGCCAGGGTTTTCATAGGAGGCGGGCAATACCCCCACTTTGTGGGGGGGCCGGTTCAAGCTCTACCAAATTTCCAAACGACTCTTCGCCACCACCCACACCCAGCTTCCCGCCCTATGACGTTCGGACACTTCACTTCGTGGCATGCGGACGACCGTGGCTACTTCAGGGCAGGGCCACCGGGTTCGGACAGCGCGCGCGGGTAGAAATTTTGAAAATTCGTACAGATGTTTTTCGAGGACCTACGGTGCGATTCGTATGATTTTATGATGCGCGGTGCTAAAATTCTTAAGAAACCCAATGGTTTTTGAAGATTTCGGCGTGCGCGCGCGAAGAAAAAACGAATGTGTCCCGCATGGTATTATTTGACAGGGATGATGGCCCTGGCAGGTGCGCAACCGTTGTTGCAGAAGTTCGAAAAAGTTGCTCGCAAAAGCCCGTTTGACAGAAATGTTTAAAAAGTGTTGGGTTTCCTACGAATCCGCAAGAGCGCGCGGGATGAGATTTTGACAATTTTTTGTTGAAAAACCATTGGTTTTTTGATGTTTTTATGTTAAAATCGCTGCGAACACTAAGGTTTTGGAAGGATTTCGTCTTGCGCGCGCGAATGTCCACTTTACCTTATTTTTTGCAAGGGATTCTTGAAATTTGATTATATTAGAACAAGAAATGTCATTTCTATTGTTTTTTGCAAGGGAAAGCGGATTACAACAAAACAACCGGATCCTGTACACACCCTCTTTTCTGAGGCTTCCTCACGAAAATGATGAAAATGTAGCTGCGGCCTAGGCGGCGCAGGGGGGGCGCGCACCAGGGGGCCCAACAATAATTATTCTTTAGAATAAATAATGTTCAACAACAACAACAACAACAACAACAACAACAACAACAACAAACAACAACAACAACAACAACAACAACAACAACAACAACAACAACAACAACAACAACAACAACAACAATCATTTAAGACTGGGGACACTCCGTTCTCACCAGTGCCAGGGATTTCATAGGAGGCGGGCAATACCCCCACTTTGTGGGGGGGCCGGTTCAAGCTCTACCAAATTTCCAAACGACTCTTCGCCACCACCCACACCCAGCTTCCCGCCCTATGACGTTCGGACACTTCACTTCGTGGCCTGCGGACGACCGTGGCTACTACACTGGCGTGGAGTACACACCCACAGAAGTTGTTAAGCCTACGTTCGTACACCCACAGAAGTTGTTAAGCCTTGTTAACCCACAGAAGTTGTTAAGCCTTCCACAGAAGTGATTTTATGATGCGCGGTGCTAAAATTCTTAAGAAGCCCAATGGTTTTTGGAGATTTCGGCGTGCGCGCGCGAAGAAAAAACGAATGTGTCCCGCATGGTATTATTTGACAGGGATGATGGCCCTGGCAGGTGCGCAACCGTTGTCGCAGAAGTTCGAAAAAGTTGCTCGCAAAAGCCCGTTTGACAGAAATGTTTAAAAAGTGTTGGGTTTCCTACGAATCCGCAAGAGCGCGCGGGATGAGATTTTGACAATTTTTTGTTGAAAAACCATTGGTTTTTTGATGTTTTTATGTTAAAATCGCTGCGAACACTAAGGTTTTGGAAGGATTTCGTCTTGCGCGCGCGAATGTCCACTTTACCTTATTTTTTGCAAGGGATTCTTGAAATTTGATTATATTAGAACAAGAAATGTCATTTTCTATTGTTTTTTGCAAGGGAAAGCGGATTACAACAAAACAACCGGATCCTGTACACACCCTCTTTTCTGAGGCTTCCTCACGAAAATGATGAAAATGTAGCTGCGGCCTAGGCGGCGCAGGGGGGGCGCGCACCAGGGGGCCCAACAATAATTATTCTTTAGAATAAATAATGTTCAACAACAACAACAACAACAACAACAACAACAACAACAACCAAAAGAACAAAAACACAAAAAAGAGGGCTGTCGGGGCCCGGCGGCGCGCCGGAGGGAGCGCACATGGGCGACGAAGGCAGGCCTTCTGCGAAGGGCACGGGGGGGATCCCCAGCAGGGGCCAGGGCCCTCCTGCAGAAGGCTTCCCCAGAGGTCGAGGGGGCCTCCAACGAGACCCCCCGCCTTCTCGGAAGGCGTGCCCCCGCCGCCCCGCCACCGCCCGCGGCGCGCCGCCGAGAGAAGGGGGGGGGAGGGACGGAGCCATCACCTCCGTGCCCCCTGCCTCCTCTGCCCTCCGCTGCCTCTCCCCTCTCCTGGGCGAGGGGAGGGATGGGGGAGGTGGTGGTGTGTATTCTTGGGCCCCGCATAGGGAAGGGAGGCTAAGAGAAGGGCGGCCGGGTGGGACTTCTTTGCTGGCTGCCCGGGTCCGGTCGCGCTGGCCACCCTCTCGTGCGCGGCTTCGACGACGTCCCTCGGGGCCTCGGAAGCGATGTAGCCGTGCACCAGGCACGATTGGGGAATGGGCGGCTCAAACCGCAGGATCTTGCTGACGAGCGCGTCGCCAGAGAGCGCCTGCACCACCTCTCGGAGCTTCTCGAATCGGGCCTCGAAGCCGCCACGGTGGGCTCGCAGCTGCATCTGAGCGTCAAGCCAGTGCGGTGCGAGCGTGAACATGCTGCCGCCGAGCCGCACCAGCCACGCCCTCGCGATCCCGACGAGGCTCGACTCCCCGCAGAGCATGGCTCCGCAGGTGCCGCCCAGGCCCTTGTGGGGCGACAGGAAGGGTACCGATACCGCTACTCCCCGGAACTCTCCCGGGGCACGTTATGACCAGAACTCTGAGGCGGAGCCAGCGGGTGCGACGAGGGCCTCCCAGGAGGCCCGAAAGCGGGAAAAACGGAGGAGGGGCAGCGCTATGGGTACCTTTTCCTCCTCCGGCCTTGTAGAAGGAGACGTAGACGGAGTCGAAGAGTCTGCAGATGTCCGCCAGGCTCCTGCCGTAGTAGGGCTGCGCCTCTCTGGGCAGGAGAGACCTCTGGTGCGCGGCCTCTTGGGGGGCCGCTGGGGGACCAAACACCAGGCGCGCAAGACGCTGCTGCTGCAGCACGTTCGGCGACCTGGGGACCAATTTCTACCCGCACAGGAGGAGGAGGGGGAGGAGGAGGAGGAGGAGGAGGAGGAGGAGGAGGAGGAGGAGGAGGAGGAGGAGGAGGAGGAGGAGGAGGAGGAGGAGAAGAGGGAGGAGGACAGGGAGGAGGAGGTGGAGGAGGATGATGAGGAGGAGGAGGAGGTCACTCGGGCAAAGGGTCACTCTTACGTCTCGTCGAGCCTCCCAAAGCCGCGCGCCGTCCATGTGCAGCCGGGCGCCTACGTCCCTCGCCCGCATGGACAGGGCCTCGAGGTCCGCCCAGGGCATCGTCCGCCCGCCGTTCATCCGCTGCGGGATCTCCACCTGAGTGGTGCAGGGGGGGCTGGCTCAGGGGGGGAAGCATCGAGCTGGACGTGGCAATGCATCGCCGACAGATCGGCGACAGGGCCCCAGCATCAGAACCCCACGTTCCTGGGCGGGGTGGGCTATCGGGCCCACATCGGCGACCAATGAGCGATTGGGGGTCGCCGTATCCCCCCCTAAGCCTATCCCCCCCCCCGGATCGGCGCCCCTGATACGAACGGCTTTCGGGCCAGATCTCCAGTCTCGGGCGGCCGTTCGGGACGGTTCTGCCCCCCCCCCCCAGCACGCCCTCGGCGAGGCGCAGCCGCTTGAAGGCATCCCAAGGCTGCGGAGCCGGCGAGAAGCTACAAAAGCGTCCGAGAACCTGGAGGAGGAGGAGGAGGAGGAGGAGGAGGAGGAGGAGGAGGAGGAGGAGGAGGAGGAGGAGGAGGAGGAGGAGGAGGAGGAGGAGAGGTGGAGGAGGAGGAGGAGGAGGAGGAGGAGGAGGAGGAGGAGGAGGAGGAGGAGGAGGAGGAGGAGGAGGAGGAGGAGGAGGAGGAGGAGGCGGAGGTGGAGGCGGAGGAGGAGAAGGAGGAGGAGGAGCAGGAGGAGGGGGAGGCGGAGGAGGAGGAGGAGGAGGAGGTAGAGGCGGCCACCACGACCACGTCGCCGCGGGCGAGGGCCCGCGGCCCGAAGTCCTCGAGCGCCAAGCACCGGCTGAAGTCGCCGACGAGCTCCACCGGCAGCGCGGGAAGCCGCGCCTGGGCCTGCGCCCGCGCCCGCTTCGCCTGCGCGGGGCCGTCGCGGAGGCAGTCGTGGTGGACGAGGTGGGATGTCCGAAGGAGAAAAGACGGCACAAGAGCCCGTTGTTTCAGTCGGTCTGGGGGGGGCGGACGGTGGCATAAACAGTCCTCGCCCGGAGGTCACAGGGGGGAGGCGAGGTGGAGGGGACGGCACACGAGCCCACTCCTGAGTCCCGCCGGCCCTCTGGGCGGAGGTGGTCGAGAGCTTGAGCGTTTCCTCTTCCACTCCCCTTCTTCCTCCCCTTCGGGGAGGGGCTTGCGCCCCCCCACCCCGCCCTCTGCCCCCTGGGTCTGGACGGGGGGGGGGGGCCGCGAGCGCTCAGGGCGCACAAGATGGCCCGACGTGGCTCCGAGAGGGCCTCCGATGCTCCAAGACGGCCTCCGAGGTTGCTCCCGATGGCCCGAGATGGCTCCAGATGGCTCCCAACATGTTCGCGAAACTCAGTATTTCATTGCTCTAGGGGAGCAGCCGATGACAGGAAGATGAACTCTCGGAGGTCCGCGCGGACTTCTCCGATCGGCCCTGGGGCCCCCTGGCGGCGCCTCTGGCGCGGCGCGCTCCGCGCGCCGAGGAGGGGGCCAGCGCCGATCCGAGAAATCCGCGCGGACCTCCGAAAGTTCGTGCGTATGTCACTGCTCTTTCCCTGAAGACCTCCCGTCACCTGAGGTCGGGCATGTCCTCCTACAGGCGGAAGTGGGACCAAAAATGAAAAATACCCGAAAAATCGTCCCCGAACTATTTTGTTCACTGTTTTTGCATGTTCCTCCTGTAAAGGGACGCGCCCGACTTAACCGTCACCGGCCCCCCCCCCCCGCTGGCCAGGCCACGATTGACGCCGGCGCCGTCTGGGCAAGGGCCACGCCTGGGCACCTCCCAAAAAAATGAGGCCGGCGCGAGTCGTGACGTGGCCGGCCCCCTCCCCACCCCCACTGCCGTGAATGGTAGAAAAATCGCGCCCTGGCCAAATTTTGGTTATTTTTGAATATTCTCCCTGAGGCTTAACCTTACTGTCGAGATTGGATTGGATGGATCGGCCGTGGCCCTGCAGGCACAGGAAGGCTGCGGCCGTGAGGCGCCCGAGGCGCCGCCAGGTGAGCCCAGCGCGGGTCCGAGGAAATCCGCGCGGGGCGCCAAACTTACCAGCCTGGAACATATCCCTATCCCTATGCTGGGCACCTCCTCGTAACGATGCCAATCTTAGGGATTGCCTTATTTTTTGAGGGCGAACCCCTAAGATTGTCGTCGCCTTTTGGCGCGTCAACCTTAGGGATAGGGATACGTTCGAGGCTGGTGAGTCCCCCCCTGGTAGCGCCCGGTATCGCCAAGGCAGGACAAATCGGGCTCTGAGCGCAAACCGTCGGAGGTCCGCGCCGACTTCTCGGATCGGCGCTGGACGCCTCCTCCCTGGTGGCGCCTTCGGCGCCGACACTGACGAGCTCCGAGCGCCAGGGAGCAGGGGGGGCAGCGACGATCCCTGAGATCCGACGTCCCCGAAAAATGGCAACATCGAAAAAAACATGACCGGAGCGCTGGACCCCATCTTTCTGTAGCATTTTGCGAGCCAGATCGATCCTTGAGGGTCCCGCGGCCCAAACAAGGCAAGATCGCCCGTTGCGAAAAAAAGTTGGCGCCGGGATCTCGGGGATCCGAGACATCCTCTCGGACCTCCGAAAGTTTATGCTTGTGCAGTTTTTTGTTCTTCGAGAGGTTGGGTGAACGAAGACCCGCCCAGGGTGCGAGGCCAGCTGCTCCCGGTGGCCGTGCAGCGCGGCTCGCTGCGCCAGGGTGCCAGTTGGGAAGAAGGCCCCAAGGTCCTACGTAGGGGTTGGAGGCCCGCGCGAGCTCGACCTGATCCTCCTCATCCCCCCACTCCACCTCCTCCTCCTCCTCCTCCTCCTCCTCCTCCTCCTCCTCCTCCTCCTCCTCATTCATTCATTCATTCATTCATTCATTCATTCAGTACAGGCACGATGTGTCAAGCACACATCCAGAGATAAGGAGACTATGAGTGATGTGGCACTGCCAGCTGCAAGGAAAATGTGCATGTCAAGTTCACTCATTCCAACCCGAACGCCGAAAATAAGTATTCAATCGCCCACTCCAGCGTCAGCGTTTCGGCCAAGAGAGATCACTACACTATCCCGAAACATGTGCCAGCACGGTACAAACACTCCCGTCCAGGATACGCGTATATAGCCATACCACCTGCGGCATCTCGCCCTCCACTGGAGGGTCCGTCCACGCACAACCGCAAGTTGGGCTTGTTACGAAGCGCCCGGGCCATGGCCTCCTCGTTGCGCGGCTCCCAATTGCCACCCGCATCCAACGCTGCATTCGCTGCGTGATCTGCGATAGTATTGAACTCCCGCTTGTCCCACTCCACAAACGGCACTGTGTTGAAGCGTGACAGGAGGCCCGCGTGAAGCAGCTGCTGCAGTCGCCTCGAAATTCGGACAAACAACGGGCGCACACTTGGAGTGTTGAGCTCAGCCCGCCCACAAAGCAGATGATCCAATGGTTGGTTGTCGGTCTGTATCCACAGCCGTCGTGCCCAGCATTCCACTAAGGGTTCCCTTTCGTTGTGGAGGATGGGAGGCTCTCGTCGATAGCGCACCGCAGTCTTACGTGCTCGCACGGCTGCCATGCCCCTGGTGGCTCGCTTGAGGGCGACGGCAACCCCCACGCCCGGCCTCCTCCTCCTCTTCCTCCTCCGTTCTCCTTCCGAACGGCGTGCAGATAAATGTACTCTCCAATCGACAGCCCAAGCCGTAACGAATGGGTTCTCTCATGAGGTGGCTCGATGCCCGCAGCCTTGTCGGACGAGCCCCCAACTTCCGCCGTTTCCGCTCTGAGCTAAGTGCCCGCACTGTCACCCGCCATTGCGAATCGCGAAACATACGCAGCATATGAAGAGGAGCGCCCCCATCTCCCACGCGGAACTGAACTTGCCTCCACGCGGCCTTGAGAGTTGACCTCAACAGACGCTCGCGGAGTGAGCGCGTGCGAAGGTGAGAGAACCAAGACTCGATCTTCCTCGCTCATCCTCCTCATCATCCTCCTCCTCTTCTCCCTCCTCCTCCTTTTCCTTCTCCTCCCAATCCTCCAACTACGATCAATGTTATCGATACTATTTCTACGACGACTAACGCTACTGCTACTGCTACTGCTACTGCTACTGCTACTGCTACTGCTACTGCTACTGCTACTGCTACTGCGACTGCTACGACTACGACTACTACTACTACTCCTACTACTACTACTACTACTACTACTACTACTACTACTACTACTACTACTACTACTACTACTACTACTACTACTACTACTACTACTACTACTACTACTACTACTACTACTACTACTACTACTACTACTACTACTACTACTACTACTACTACTACTACTACTACTACTCCTACTACTACTACTA